CTCGGGGGTCCCCAGAAAGTCTCCACAACTTCCAACAAGGCCCACAAAAGGCCCAGGCAGAGCCCAGACACTGCTGCGCAAACTGCTGCGTCTGTTTGCTGCCTCTGTTGGCTGCGCTCTCAAGACTTCATATGCTTTGGATCAGGCTTTCTATATTATGAGCAGGGCATGACACCAGCACTGCAGAAGAATGAAAGCAGGCATAGGTCTTCATTTCAAGCCACAGTAGGTGAAAAAGGATGCCTGTGTGATCCTTGCCTCTATCACATGGCTAAGGTTCAAGATCGTCCCACAAAACTGTGATAATCAAAGTGGAAATGAAGAAGCAGATCACTGGTTTCTGAAGTCTGAAGAAAGATCACAGTCAGCCCTGGGACCAAACTTGGCTACAAGACAGAAACAGCTGTTGCAAATGTGGCAAGAATGAAAAATCAAATTTTTTCTTGCTGGAAGCCATTTGTTGTTTAAAATATAAAACAACAACAACAATCATAAACACTGAAACAAAAGGAAGGTTTTTGAAAAATCCAATTTATCTTTTCCACTTCAGTAACATCTTTCCTCTGGGGTCTCACATAATGCCTTACCCAAATTGATGAATTAACTCCCCAAAAAAATAACTGAAAGCAGCTATGTATTACTAACCTTATTTGATAAATTAAATCCCAATATTTCAGTCATAGGCTCCTAAAATTATATTTTAGAACCTATAACAAACAGGTCTGATTTTAAAAGGGACTGGGCCCTCAACCCCAAGTGAGAACTATTTATATTTACATGGGTATTACCTGAAGGGGCAACTTGAGACACCAAAGTGTGAAAAACAATATGGCATAGCCCAGCTCAAAGAAAGTGAAATTCCTACTGTGTTCTAAGTGGATCATCTACATTAGATACATTTAAGCCGCATGCCTATTTGGGTCTTTTCAGGCCCCACTTACTATCTCTCTCAGAGGGGACTGGGTGCATCGGGAGAGCTGACAAAAATAAAGTGAGATTTTTGCACCATGTCTTTACACTGAATGTCTGCATAACAGTGAATTTGTTACCTAACTTTGTAATGGCACAGCTGAAAATACTGCGATCTCCTGTTCTAAATGATACCCATTTGCATGTCTACAATGTATAGTATTCCGCATCTCAGATGACTCTCCAAAGAAGGCAACTTATTTAAATGACCTTAATTTCTATGCTCTACTAACATTAAGCCATTGAGAACAGGTGGCTCAGGAAATTGCTAATGCAATTCAAAACACTTCCCATGTGGAATGCCAGTACATGCCTGTATTCAGGCATACGTAGATAACGACCAAGAACTGCTACCAATGAATGGTCATTTTCTATCCCATGTGAAATGAGCTGGTGACCTTAGTCCAGTTCCTATTGCAGGCAGGTGTGCACATTACCTCTGCCACCATCACAGTTGGCAGTAAATGCTCATTCTTTGCAGTTTCAGCAGGGAGGCCAAGGACCAAATAAGTTTTCTGATGGAAGTGCCATCTTGAGTCTGGAGGTGGCCTTCTCAAAAAAATATTGCAATATCATGTCAGAGTAAGGACGAGAGAGGCTTGCAGAATTACCAAGCAATCTGTCTCTTTTCAGTGGACAGGAAAACGTCAGTTTAAGAGACTGTGAATCTGACTGATTGTTTTTAGTAGAATTCAGTTTGCTTCATTTTCCCTCTCTTCTCCCAGAAAACTCTTTTTAAAAAGCAAAGTATTCTGGAGAGAGGTTTTCTCTGTGTGAGGTTAGGGTGGGTCAAGATCATAAATATAAACACCCAGTTCTGTATCTTGTGTAGATCCAGAAGAAAACTTCTCTTGCCCATCCTGATGATGGAAAATAGATCGTTCTTGGCTATATCGCATTTCTCTCTGATTATTCTCATTTTGAGAAGTGAAGGGAAGTGAGCAAAACAGCAGAATTCCAGAACTTCAAAGATCTTGCTTACTGCTGAAAGCACAGCGCAGGGCTTTGAGCCTCATCCATCCTCATAGCTACAGCAAGGAATGGGATGGGTAGGAAGAGGGGATAAAAGACTGGGGAAGAGTCCAGAAGGGTCAGAAATACTGCTCCGGCTGTTCCCAGGAGGAACTACAAACATAGCTAGCCCCCCCATTCACTCTGACCTCTTCCTGATCAGTTGGCAGAAGCAGCCGACCAGGTTTTCCAGCATCCTCTCAGAGCAAAAGAGACGGCTGTTCTCTTGCCCTCCATTTGCCCTAGGCAACTGCTTGCTTGGCCTTTGTCCTGGGATTTGGATCACTGCTAGGCAAGATATGTGAGTAACGCTGCCATTAATTTCCTCACTAATTGCCTGAAACAGATACCACAGATACAAACATCTCTGATCCCTGGAGACCACTAACTATAGCTTCACAACAGTGATGTTGAATCCTTTTGCCTGGGCTTAAGGAGGTCTACTGTGTGATCCATTGACTGGATATTTCTTTTGGAAAACTTGAATTTTATATTGTGCTCAGTCAAGACACAAAGAGGATTATAATTCTACACATGAATATTCTTTCACACTACTTAGCTTAGCCTGTGACTATTAAATTCACCAAAACTACCATCAATGGGTGCAATAGTTAAGGAAAAACAAATGACAAATGTGATCTTTAGGCAGAGCAGAACTCAGCATTTAATTCTGCAGATGTAAAAAGTCGAGGTGTGATCAAAGCATCTTAGGGAGTACAATTAACTACACTTACGTAAGTGATTAAAAAAACTAAGCTTATCTGTCATTGATGAAATCTACCTACAAGACATGTTTGCTGATGTTCCTGAAATAAATACATGGGGAGAAATCAGAGATGCCCAGAATGGAGCTATGAAGATGCCCAGGAATACAGCTTTGGATCTACACAGAACAAATCAGTGGGTCATCCACACAGAACAAACATATAGCAATAGCAAGTCTGTAAGAAAAAGCTGAATCTGCAAAGCAAAGGCGCTTTGTGACTCAGCAAAATTTAGAACTGCTTTAGAAAGTTAATTGTTTAAGAACTGCTTACTTAGCCCAAATAAATTTTTTGGAACACTTCTCCCATCAGTTCTGTGTTTTTTCATAGATGCAAATTCTGAAGTTTCTTTTTACTTTTCTCCAGTTGGGAAAAATTTTGCAAAAACAGTGTAGCTGTCATAATACTGTGAACGCCACCAGGAAGAGTGATTCACAGCTTAAACAAGGTAAACTTCATGTTTGATTTCAACTCTCCCTACAGACTGTTTCCATCTCTCACCGCTAATTGTGGTGAGGTCTAGCAGCAGAATCTCAGAAGGTGGGGGATCTAGGTCCCAAAACACTTTCTTGAGTTGAAAGAGAGACAAAATTAAATTTTCAGTTAGGCATGACACAAATCCAAGTGTTGGTAAAGTGAATCAGCACGGCTTCAACAGTAGACACTCCTCAAGGCTGGGCTCATGGGCACTGTGTATCCAACCAGATACTATATAATCTTTAACTAGTCTTATATGGTCCTTGATTGCATCTCTGACATGACAAATTGCTTACCCACTTTTGGCTAGTTATCATCCTCCAGTACTGCTGATGTCCTCACCTGCTGATCAGAGCATCCATGTGAAGTAGGGAGAGGCTTATGTTTTAAAATTGTATGTTGAGTATCACTCTCCAGATATTCAACACAGACTATTGCCTGACACTTCATTCTGGGGATTTTCCCCCTCTCCATTTGCTCCTTGGACACCCCTCTTTTTGCAGCAGCTGTCTTAGCTGCATGATTCCTTCAACAGAGTAACAAAGACAATAGAAAACCTCCTGTAATTCCACTATTACCTGTCTCTTTGCAGGATGGTCACTGAAGGATCTTCTTCTCTGGTCCTACTAGTGCCCTTCCTATTTTGTTGGCCCAAGTACTGAGGATATAATTTCTGTGAGGCATCAAGCCTCCTCTTTTGATCAAAAGACAGGAGACTTCAGGACTGCCCACCCAGGCAACAGATAAAGGCTCCAACCAAATTCATTTGGAGCTCATCAGAGGAGGCAGGGCGTTAGGAATAAACAAAAAGAGGATGCATAGAAGTCCTCCTCCCATATTTATGCATCTACATAGAATGGCTTTAAGCATCCAGTCATGCCCAAATATGGAATTAGAAGCCTAATTCTGGCAAACTTTTTAAAAATAATCTTGCAAGGAATGTTTGTTGGCTTGATTTTTCCAATTATCTTGCTACACAAGGACAATAAAGTTTTTAACTACTGGGTACAATATCAATTGTTTTTAGCCAAAGCTACCAAAGTGATGCCTTGCAGTGAAGGTTACGCTGCAGAACTCCAACACAGCTAGATGTCTAGATGTCTTAGGGATGTTTAAACGCTAGAAGCAATTCTTCTGCTTCTATGTTCATCTTTAGAAGAAGTCAGAGGGAAATGATCTTTTCTCCCTGCATCATGCCTAGCCTTGCAATCGCACAACAGAGAAGATGTGCTTATTGAAGAAGAAACACGTCCAAGACTCACTCTAGGGAAAACAGTCTCCTATTGGACTGTGCTTTGGAGATATTAAGTAATGCGAAAACTTCTCACGTGAGAAGACATAATTTGGCAGGAATTTCATTCCACAAATGTGAAGGGATTTGCCTTATGTGCTCTCTTTCCTCCTTCAGTCCTCTTGACTTTCTAGAGATTTTAGTGTAATCCCCTTCTACGGTGAATAGTATGCTTCACCTATAGACAGTTTTACGGGGGATATATAGTGTTGTGCTCTTCTCACAGAGCATGTGTAGAGATATTAGGTAGAAGAATATGTTAAAAGCAAAGAGTTGTCTTGTATTCCTTTGATTTACTCAAAACACTCCTTCCATGCCATTTGGAATGCCCTATTTTGCCATTTGCACAACAATAACCCAGGCCACCTGTTAAGGGTTCCTGAGATAACCCCACCACTGCCCATTGCTTTTGGTAACCAGAGAGTAGGAATAGAAATACAAATTTTTTAAAATAAACAATAATAAAACATTTTCCTGGTACTGCTTACCCGCTAAGTACACCGAGAACCAAGTTAAGTACAAAAAATGACCCTATGATGATTAGTGTAACAAAATAGATCCAGGGCCAGTCCCTTCCTATGGCATCATTGACCTGGAAGAGTGGAATGATAATTAGTGAGACAAGCTCAGTTTCTGAGCACTGCAAGGCTCCAGCCAAAGAGATCCCAAGTCACCAGCAGTAAGGTTTTCAATAGTCTTTTTTATGGAAATTTATGAAAGGTTAGCATGAGCAATTTTAGATGCCCTGAGCTTGAGTTTCCTTGTTAGAGAATAACTTCTTCTGTTACCTGTATTTTTATTTGCAAAGTTTGAACATTTTGCAAGAATATTTCAGAGCTGATGTGAAAACTTCCTTGGATTTAGATTTTTAATCCCTGAGAAATAATCCTGGTGACAGGGAAGAACCCTTATTATGGAGTCTTGCCCTGTAGCATTGGAAAAAGGACACCAAAACTGTCGGCTTACCCGCTCAACACACCAAGAACCAGATTTAGAACGAAAAAGGATCCAAAGATGACCAGACTGACAAAATACACCCATGGTAACTCATAGCCCATAGCGTCCTGCATCTGGAAAGACGAAGGAAAGTTAGAAGACAGAGAGGGAAAGCAGAAATGATTAGGCAAAGGAACAGGTGGAAAGGTTTGTAAACAGAGCCTGTGGTTGGTTTTCACATAATCATAGCAAGTGTTTCTATATGTTCTTTCTGAGGTGTCCTCTCAATTGATTGCATGGTTCTCTACCTGTTTCCTTACAGGCAAAGATTAATGTAGACTGAGATCCACCAATGTGCCATACTGGCATTTTTTTGAATACTCAAACCTGCAGACTCTCACTTTCCGGAGTGTACTTGCAGGACCACAAGGGTCCATCCAGTGACTTCTAAACTTGTTTTAACACTCTGCATGTATGTATGACTGTTTGCTGCCATTTGTTAGTACTTGCTAAGCATTGTTAACAACGTGTTATCAGATCACATTTATTCCCCATTTGTAATACAGATTAACATATCTCCAAGGGAAGCATGTGGTGGCAACTGCGGGCAAATACTGATATTTTCCTGGCAATGCTGTGATAATTTTTAGTTTATCACAGTCAGAGCATTAACTGTATCCCTTAGAGGAAAGTCCTATCAAGGCCCATCATGTTCTGACCTGGTCAAGCGTTTTCTCAAGCTTTCCCACAAACTTCCTTTCTCTCTAGAGAGGAATCTCTCCTCCATGCCAAAACGTGACCCCTACACAACTGAATACTCAGAGAATTTAGGATTTGAAATTGAAAGTCTTGAGTGCAGTTCTAGCTTTAGCACTACTACAGGTATTTGCAAATGAAGCAGGCAGACCTGCTTAGGACCAGAACCTGTATTATCCATAGAGCAGCTCTAGTGCATAATATGACTTTTTATGCCTTCTGAAAGCTCTCATACATACAAATACCATTTTATCTTGAGGTCTCCTTTGAAGTTCAAAAATTTGGGAAGTTGCTGGATGCCCTAATAGAATCTCATTCACATGATGATGTAATAGATACCACAGCACCCTTTTTCTTTGTATTTCATAAACACTTATCTCCTGAACACACATAGTATCATTAAAGAAACAGACAGTGGTTAACATTTTCAGGAGCACTAAAACGATTTATGAATGTAAATTTTCAATTTAAAAGTACCTAAAGGCATAAAGCAGCCTAGGTTCCTTCGGTTTCAATGCTTTTGAAAATCGTCTCCTACGTTATTTTCTCCTTCTAGGAAAATGTTCTCTCCTTTGCAACCTAAGCATTTGTTGTGATCACAGAAGAAATATTCTTCCATACATGGGCACTGAGACACACTTTAGGGGAGGAGATCAGACTCAAGATTCATAACAACTCAAGAAAGGAATTTCAGACCTTCAGTAGGACAAGCAGGAGAGTAACACTAATATAATCAGTTCTTTGTGGATAGAACATCACCCATTTTCCTCTAAAAGTACAGTCACTGAAGTCCTTGTTTGGCAACTGTCCAAGGTCAATGGGGCAATCCACGACTCTTATCTCAGGGCTCCTTCAGCTGCAACTTAACTAAAGAAGACTCATTAAAGAATAAGCTTAAAATCTGCATCAACTCCTTCCTCAGAGGATTAATAAATGTGGTGGTCGGAAAAGAGTGAATACCTCTCTTCACAAACCCAGGAGTCCCCATAACTTTCCCCAAGCATATCATCCAGTTTCCCTTTGAATACCTTCGTAGAACCATCCAGTTAGTTTGTGAACGATGCTAATTATTTATTATCTTTCCAACTACATTTCATTCCACATGGCTAAAAAGTAAAAGTCATCAACTGGTTAAAGACTGACACCTCTGCTGTGAAACACAGCAATGGCTTAAAGAGAAAACAACACCATGACACAAGATAGAACAATATATTTATCTCAAGTCACAGAGGAGAAATTGGGCAGGCAAAGCATAACTACCCAAGCTGAAATTAGGTCAAGAAAAGAGACTTAACATCCCCTCTCTTATTTAAAGAATGTCACTACCTATATAAAGTGTTCCACACAATGACTATAAATCACTTTGAAAAACTGCCATAAGAATTTACCAGAACAGGCACAGTGATGACTTGACCTCCCTTTAATTATGACTGGTGGTGATATAAAACCCTCAGCTACATGGTACTTATCTGTCAACAGTTTTTTTAATCAGATGGTAAAGTGAATAAGTAGAGTTTTTCAGGGCTGTAGTACAAGTGGATCCTTGTACCTGATGCCAGAGTTTCTGGTATATAACTCAGGTGCTTGCCCCTTAGTACTATTCTGTCATGAATAAATTTCCATCTGGCAAGAAACTTCCATTGTGGCCTGGTAAGGTACATAAGCGGGGCATAGTGTACTCTAGCTATTCCCAACGCCTGTAAATTGCATAAAGATCGTACCAACTTGCATCAGCACAAATTAGTCCTAAAAAACAGACCTCCATCCTGACAAAGCAGAGCACCAGGGCTTCTCCTCTTTACCGTCCTTTAATATAAGTAATGGAGAAGCTGAGAGTACAGGAACAGTACTAGCTTCTCAAGAGTACAGGAACCATCCGCATATGGCAGAAAGCAGATTATTTAGTATCTCTCTTCCTGGAATCCATCACATAGAACTTTTCTGCATGTTGGGTGCTCTCACATTTCATTTTCTTTAATAGGAAGTGAGAGTACTCCACACCTTGTGAGACTGGGCCACAGGTGATAGGTATGTATATACCTATAATGATATAGCATTAAATAACTGGTAAATTATGTAAAATGCCCCCTTTAATAAAGAGTCAGTACACTGTGAGCTTACTATTTGCTTGAAAAATGTCTCCAGGAGAGACGCAGGACAGAGATCTAGGCTGCTTGGCAGAAGGTGAGGGAAAAAGAAATATACTTATTCAGAACAAGAACAGCAAAGTATTAATATTTAAGAAACATTAAGTTCTTGTCTAAGATTGCATCCTATCAAATACCCGGAAATGCTTCCTCTAAAATGCAAATATCCTATAAGTCTGTAATAGATTTTGCCCAACTGAACAATGCTCCCATGCTGTTAGCATTAGAAACCTTGCATCTGTGTTTGATTCAAACTCCTTCCTGGAAATCTATCAGCATTCTTCAAATATGTAGCTATTCATCACATGTGTATGCATACACGTGTCCCGCTGACTGCAGCTGGAGGCTTTTACGGCAAAACTGTACCACCTAAGTTATGCAAATATAACTTATGCAAACACAACTTAGGTGGTACAGTTGAATTTTCCTAATCATGCTAGTGAAGTGGAGAAGCTGCACAGCATCGCAACAGGATCAGAATGAGATTTACCATCTACCCACCAAGTGCAGAAAATGACACTGGCAGAATATTTTTTGTAGCGTTTACAGTGAAAAGGGTTCTGTTATAGATTACCTCTCTAGTACAGATAGTACAACTCCTGACACAGAGCTCAGCTGTCTGGTTGCAGAGTGCACTTCTTCTCCACTTATTTCTCCCTGTGTGTTTACTATTAACCGTATGAATCTCAGCAGGA